GGTGGCTAAGACAGATTTGGTGTCCCAACTAGAGAGAGAGAGAGAGAGAGAGAGAGAGAGAGAGAGAGAGTAATTTAGAGAGAAATATTAATTTAGAAATTTAATTAGCCCTAAATTGTTCATGCATTTTAAATAAATAAATACCTACGTATTTTTAATTTTAATTTACATATACTTTTAAGAACTTCGCTATAAAATTCTTTGAGAATATAAAGAATTTACATTTACCATGTAAAATGTATGATAAATTTTAGTTTTTGGCTTTATCTTACGCCGAGCAGCGATAATCTATAATGAAACAAGACACTTCTAATTTCAAGTCACGATTTCGATTACCTTGTCCATGAAAACGGAATGACTATTCTATATGAACATCATGTAGAGCACCGACTTTAATTTATTTATTTTTCACAGCCTCTTTTTGTTCAATGTGGCAATTTAGAAAATTGTTATAGCTGAACGACTGATAATTATTAGAGCCATTTCTTAAATTATGTACTTTTATAGTCCCGTTTATGTTGAAATTGTGTTCATACGATGGTCGAATGGCTCTCGGGTTTTCATTTAATATAATAATGAGATCAAGATATTTCATCTACAAGCGATGTATTTTGATATAATTTTGCAATTCATCTTGATAAGAATTGTCATTTCTTAGAAAATTTCGTTTAATACAATATTGTAGCAACACACCGTTTGTATGGGCATTTTATAAATCAAATGAACTTCGACGTATATTTAGGATATCATTAAATTGTCACTATTTTTCGCCTGCGACTCTAAATGTCCTTTAAAAATTTCACCAACTACAATCTAAACCACTGTTTCATTTTAATGCTCATTCTTCTTTTCTGGTAGATAAAACTTTCCCCTTTGCGCAATTGATGCGACCTGGGAGCCGAGGATAGAGATCATTTTCTCAACTTTCAAGGACTTTTTAACAATTTAACTTTTTCGAGTAGTATTGTATTGTACCTACAGCTCAGGGAAATTCTCTATAAACTTAGAAAGTACATGATATTGACGTTAAAAAATTGTGTTATGAATGTAAGACGCTGAAAATTCTTTCTGAAATTAAAAGAAAAATTATCACGATTCCTTGCGCATTATATAAAAATATTATATATATTTTCATATTTCGTCAAAATATATAGGTATCCGGAATTCATTATCAAATATTTATTTAAATTAATTTTTCTTCCATTATGGACGATTGTTTTTTTTTCTTCTCCTTCCATCAACAATATACAATATTTGATAAATAATACGAGTCGCCGGATTAATCTTTATACGGAGCTTGCAGGTTGGACTTTTGCTTCGTTCGATTATCGATACACTATTGCAAATATCATAGAGCAGATATACCTAATTTTGCATTAATTTAGATCCTATGTCATTAACATAGGCTAATAATTATGATTTGATTTATAAAATTCGCTACTCACATTGCTGACATTGATAAATTATTTATGAAGCTGTTTCGATCGATGTTCTAAGGGCTTAAATAATTAGCAGCAACGGCTCATTGGTAATCCCGGATTTTCATCCTTGGAAGGACTTAAAGAATCAAAAGTCGAGGTACTGCTCTTACTTTTCTTTAGGCAATAGCTCAGCATAAAATACAGTCATATCTCCGCTATAATGAAACTCAGTTAAGTAGTATAGTAAGTAGTGTAGTTGACTCAGTTTAGAGTAAAGCAACGCTTGTTCCCAAAAACATTGGCATTAGTGCCGCCACTAATGAAAAGGAGTGGGCTCCCCACACCTCCTTGTCCACATATTTATCCATTCGTCCTTACGAACATTGTCACTGGTCAAAGGATGCGAATAAGACGGAGGCAAGTTAAGCACAGTATAG